TATATATATATAAAAAGGTAAATGCAGTCTTTGTTAGATCTGCGCAGATACTAAGCAACCATAGTAACCTTTCTGGCTTGATTTATCTGTGTTCTGTCTTCATTTTTCTCATTCACACTCATTATTTTTCTATTTATGAAATTTAAAAAAACTGTATTGCGAAGTTTTAAATGCTCATCTAAAAGTTGATTAAATATTCATCCAAATAACTTAACAAATTCAAGTTTATTTTACACCTTTATCAACATGATGAGTAGAAAATGGTACAAAGTTATCTAACTCACTATGAATAAAATGTGACATACATCGGTTTGTAAAAATGGTTTATACAACAATCTATCCCGTAATAGTTTTATCTAAATGCTAATAGTAAATCTTAGATGCTAGAAGCTTAACGTTGAAAAACAAAAACAGAGTAAGACTGTGACCACTGATGCACTTCAATGAATACATCATAGTAATGCGCACCTAGTTGTCTAAGTGTATTTCTAAATATAAAATTTGTCTTTCTTAAACTTAATACTACTAAATCACCAAAAGTAGTCAACCGTTATACACTGTAATGAAAGTCCAGTTTGACTTGAGGTCAAAGGCAAACACAGTTTTGGATTTTATTACTCTCTAGTATTTGTTTAATATACTTTTGTGTATAGGTAATTGATTTGCTCAGGGCTATTATATGCATATTTCATGTAATCTATAAACAATATGAAAATAATATTCTGATCACGAATCGACTTCCGTTAGAGAGCCATTGAAAACTACCAGACAGCTGTTTCGTGCTCGCGTGGGACTCTTCATCAGTACGTAACCGTTACCCCATCAGGGATTGAACCTGTAACCTTCAAGTTAGAAGGTGAAGTTGTATACAATCCAGTCACTGAAGCAGAGTTCCAGAGACCCATGAGTTCTAACTACTACCAATTCACGATACAGAGCGACCGTCAGCCAGTGTCATCGGTGAGTATCTGTCTTCAAGCTCAACTTGGTGGACCTAGCTAGTTACAGCTTTCCACTAGAACTTCAGGCAACTTCATCTTGTAGTGAGTTGTTAGTGAACACTAGTCGCGCTATATCGCGAAATGGGAGGAATTGGAATTGATTATTATTATTATTTCCTTTAATTCCTAGAGGAACATAAGGCTTCAGCCATGCGTCTCCATTGCGTTCGGTTCTCAGCTAGATTCTTCACCTGGCTCCAAGTCTGCCCACATGCTTTCATCTCCTCTTCACATGACCTCCTTCAAGTCACCCTTGGACAACCAACTCGCCGCTTCTCTTTCGGGTTCCACTCGGGTGATGGCTTGTCTAGTGATGTCACTTGATGGTTTTCTCAGAGTATGGCCAATCCATCTCCATTTCTTCCTGCCTATTTGTTTCACAATCGGTTCCTGGTTGGTTCGCTCATTACCAGAGATCCCTGTTACTGGTCCTTTCTGGCCATCTGATCTTGAGTATTGAGCGAAGACAACTTTTAATGAAGGTCTGTAGTTTGTTTGAGATGCTCTTTATGACGAGCAGTGCAAGTCTCTGATTCGTATAGTAGCATTGACTTCACATTGGAGTTGAAAATCCGGATCTTGGAATTGATGGGTTATTGGATTCCGTCCCAGTAGCTGAATAGCATACGAGTCCGCTCGTAACCTGAAGGCCCTGAACTCGACCCCAGATGGGGTCATGGACACGCACTGCCGGAGAATCTCAAGCAAAGACAAAACAGTTGTCTAGTACCCCCTAGTTTTCAATGGTTCTCTAACTGAAGTTATTTAGTGATCAAAATTGGAATCAATCAAATCCCTGCAGACTGATACTTGAAAATATCTTATCTACATGATTTCATATAGTGAAAAGTATTTTTTCAAACAACTGACATCAACTAAAAACACTTGGAAACCAAGCAGGCATTGTGTTTCAAGCCAGTAGTTGACTGATAAAGCAGTTGTTTCTAGATTCCATTCTAACTTGTCATAAAAGAACTCATTAAAAATTACACCAGAACAAAACAGCTTCTTTGTGATTCTGGGCTTTCAATAATTCTTTATTGACTATTAATCCGTCACAAAATCTAGTTCGAAATCAATCTGTTGTCTCCAAACTCAGCGAATTACTGTAAACAGCTCCACACATAGCACTCGTCTCATGATGCACTGTATTTACACTATTCCTATAAATTAAATGAAAGTTCCAATTTCCTCACCAAAAATGGAATAAATCTGGCATACTACTAGGCTATTTATGCATACAAGATTTCACCTGCAAACTGTATAATATACAACACCCTCAAATAATTTAGTATTCTAGCTATGCGACAAGTAACTCCAGTCTTGAAAAACACTGATAATTTTTATCGTTACTTGCTTATTCATCACAATTGTGGACAGACTAAGTGGACTGCCGTAAAATACTTCTCGGCTTCCGTTTCGTATTCTGTCCAATGGATAACTGGTAAAATTCATTAATATCTCACTGAATTTGCGGTCTAGGTTGAGACCAAGACATCCGCCTGCTTAATAGTTAAAGTAGCAAAGATAACTAATTTATAGAGAACACTCGGAGGTTGCTATGACTTTTTGTCCTACCAAACATAGATTTCAGCTTGTAAAGCCTACGACAAAACACTTGAAGTTGAAAACCTTATCAGTTAGTATTAAAACTATTTAAAAGACATGATCTTTGAACCACGCAATGATAATGTAAAGTGCACTGCGACTGAGGGTCCCTTAGTTTGTCAGTGGAATGCGGTCAACATTCAGGACTAGGTAACATACCACTAGCAGTTTCTTAATGATCAGGGAATAAAAGCAGTTACATAAAATCTGTGGGATTGAAGTTAATGGAAAAATTCAAAAACTCCATACAATTATTTTCTCTGATAAACTTGAACAAAGCAAGAGGGACACATTGAGCAGGATAAAATGACGTCATCGTATTTCGTTGGTTCTCTTCATCTGCATACAACTATGAACAATTTAACATCAGTATACAATATATACAAATTCACTCATCTCGTGTATCTGAGATATTGATTACAAGTAATTTACTATCAGGAACACAAAATGAGTGAAGATATTTTACCTTTTTACACTCTGTTTCACCTTTTATAAACGGTTATGTAAATACATTATAAATTATTTAAATTAATCCCAGCGTGTTAAGAAAATCAAAACAAGATTTTTCTGAACGTTTCGCTGTGTAAGCCACAGCTTCTTCAGAAGACTCGGCGCTCAAATTATTCCAGGAAGTTCGTAACACCTACGGCCTGGAAACCTATAAGGTTAGTAAATATTTTATTATTTGTATATCGAAATAAGCTGCGACTAACCTAAGTTTCGTATTCATCTTCACTTATTGGTAAATATCTACGATGTCGAAGAAGCTCACTTCTCCGCTAATATTCAAATCGGTATTATTAAGTGCATCGGTCAAAGATCTTACCATTAGGCAACTGGGAAGTCGTGACCAGTAGGGTGCAGCAGGTTGAAGATGAGGCAGTAACTCATCGAAGGAGACATTGCGAAATGGTCGCGCTATGTCGTGAATTGGCAGAAGTTAGAATACATGGGTCGTTGGATCGAGTCGCAGTGAGTTAATGGACTACGAACTTGCCTTGTAACCAGAAGGTCCTGGGTTCGAACCCCGCTGTGTGCGTACTGCCAAAGAGTCCCAAACTAGAATGAAACAGCTGTCCAGTACTCCTAGGTTTTCCAATGGTACTCTAACCAATGTCAGCTCATGATGAAATCCTGTAACCAATCAATTCTTTAGTGTTGACTGAGTGCTTGAATTGTTATTACTAATCCAAGTGATACAGTTTCGTACATTTTAATATACTTCGTTTCGGTGTTGAATTTCATACACCAGTCAGTAAGAGATTTTCGCCGATGAGTACCAGCCATCATGACACCTAGATTCTATACTTAATGCTGACTTAATGCCAACATCTAATAAAACGTTCAGTACAGTTGTCAGAAATGTTGAATCACTTAAGTTAGTGGCAACATTGCACACTTAATTGATACATTCCAATCACCACCAAAGAATAAAAGTATATACATCTGTTAGAAAAAAATAATTACTTGTACCAGTTACTCCATTTTTTCATATAAACAAAAACAGTCCAATGATAAACTGCATTCCTTAGAACTTGTGAAAAACACTTTTATTGCTTCACATTCTGTTTAAATTGAGAATATTGATTACTAATTCTCAGCATGAATGTAACCGAAATGTAAGTTCAAGTGTGTGGTTTTCATTTAAGTTCAAGACCACTATAACGCATAAAGGTTCAGACATTCCAATGGTCTTATCAGACCTCATAAAATAAGTATAAATCATGCGTTGATGTGTGTGAACCTTAAAATGGTGGTTCATTCATGTCACTTTTGTTTTCTATATATAAGTTAAAATTACTGACCAATGTAGAATGAGTTCTCCTACACTGTTATTTTCCTCAGTCATGTAACAATATTTCTATATGCAATGATTTAACCTTACTTTAATATGATGTCACCAATACCCAGTGACTTCTTCTTGTCTCCTAGTAATCCATATGTGCAATTGGTTGAGTCAGCGATTCAGTACCGGAGTTATTGTCAAACACGCTCGTAATTGAGGTGTGATTCCCAATCGACGCACTCCTAGGCATCACTCAGTCTACCAGTTGATTGTATACCCTTAAAACGAGGTAGAGGTGGACCTGAGCTTGACAATCTCATCTCACAATGTAGCACTACTGCTAGTGAAACTCTAAGGATTTAAGCCTTCCTAATGCGAGAAATATACATATATATAGTTAACGTTAACTGCTGATAATGGAAATGTCACGTACGGAAGATACCTTTTTAGTGTTTTTCCATATTAAAAAGTTTTTTTCATTAGTTCATTACAAAATTACACCGAATACACCATTTTATAGTCTTCTGCATATCTTAGCACCTATACACTGATCCAGTATATATGTATACATATTTGCTTTGTTCAATTCATTTGTTCACTTTCAGGTTATTAAAGAAATTTCTAATGTTGAAGACACTTTATATGAATTGGATAAAGCTATTAAAGACAAGGATGGAGCGCTTCGTTTGGCGGGAACACGTTTAGGCATACGTAAAGAAAGACCAAATATTGAATTGTGTCGTGATCCAGCTAACTATCGGTAAGAGTAGTGACATATATATTATAATATATATAATATATATATATATATATATATATATATATATATAGTAAGATTAATCATTATGTTTTGCTTAATTCATGGAACGCACTCAACTGCTTCTTTTGGTGTTTTAATAAATTGAAGATGTGTCACATGTTTCATTGGTAAAAGATTATGAACAGGAAGAAATATTTGTTAATACACAGAAGACAGTGTAAAACAATCTAGTAGTTGCTCGGATACTTAAAATGCAGGCATTGGTTAAAGAATACGTTCAACAACCTGAAGTCAGCTATAAAAATGAAATTGTCGAAAAGAGAATTTTCTTCTCTGAATTCCTTATTTTCAAAGATAAAAGAACAAAACAGTAGTCCAGTGCTTAGTGATTTTTGATAGTTTTCAGAAAAATAAGTTTGTCTTATAACCAATCGGCATCTCAGTTTTAATCTGTTGTTCATTGGTGTTATTCTTCTTGATGGATTACCCGTTACTTCAACGAGAAGTATCAGTAAGTAGGATCAAGGAAGTTAGCTGTGAGAAATATAAGTTTCCGGTAGCACTGATTGGTGTTAGGACTATACCATAGATTGGCAAGCTTTAAAAATAATGACTAGTTGAATCCTAAAGCAGTGGTTGGACTGCAACTCGTTTGCTTTTTAACCTTATAGTTCTAAATTTAATCTTTCATGATAAAAAAGTTCTAAAGTAAAGTCGAACGACTTGTTTTCAAGCGGTTAGCAATAACATTTAACTAAGTGAGGAGGAATTTTCAAGTTTCTTCCTAAATCACCGAATTCTGTGTTCTGGTTTGAAGGCGAATTCTATTAAATTTTTAAGTTACACTGTATAACAGAAACATTGTTGAATGCCTAAATGAAATCACACCAGCAGAGGTGGAATTTCATTCTGATAGAGAGCCTCAAGAAGACAAAAGTTGTTAATTGATAAAAATATATGCTGAAAACCTTCATAATGCATAGTTACCGCTACTGATAGATACAATAAAAATAGCATTTAGTTTTATAGTATACCACAGTTATCTCATTGAGTCTTTGGAGGCTGACGGTATCGACGTTCGCGAATTGTACGGAGTATACTGACGCAAGATCTTATACCAACAACTTCTATAGTATTCGTTTCTCGTGTACCAAATACAAAGCAAAACGCCACAAATGATCGTCCAAAGTACGTGATATATTTCGAGACCAAATAGTAAACTAGCTAGTGATCGTGCACGCACGTGACACGACGGAGTACCAAATGGCATGGATGCTTGACCGGAAGCCTTCAGCTAAACAAGTCGACTTAAGCAGTGAGGGTCAGTGATGATTGCTGTGGTCAATAATTTTGGGGAATTATTTACCGCTACAAGTCTCATAGACTGTCCATTAAACACAGGTACTACTGTGCAGCTTTGAAGAAGAGGCTTTTTCAGCCATTACGTCCCTCTGTTGATTTTTGTTGCCCACTTTGTTGTTGAAGATTTAGTTCATGTCTAAAACTAGAAGATATTGTTCACCCAACTGCCACATCATTCCGCAAAACCAATGTAATCAGCGAAAACTCGGATGCGTTTTACTATTATTTTAGACTTCAATAAAAATTATTATAAACTAACCTAACCACAATCTTTATTTACCTTAGATTAATTCAAGAAGTTGATGAAATAAATCGTGATATTGAACAACTGAAACAACGATTACATGCAGCACATGCTTCCTTGAAAGGATTATGCCGACGTCAGTTGGATTTAGAAGAAGAGATTCAAATTAAAGCAGCAACATTATTCATTGATGAAGTACAGTGTATGGGTATACGAGAGAGTATTAATTTTAGTGCATTCTAAACAATTTTATGCATAATTATGTTTGTATGTATGTATATTATTACAATAATTAGACAAGTTTTATGCTACAGAACAATGCTGAAGAGTATATATGCTTTCATCGAGATACACCGTCATTAGAGCACTATCTATATCTTATTGAGGAGACGACTACTGACAAACAAATTGATTTATTTGCCACCTTATTTTCTTTTGACTTCTAAACAATAGAGCTTTCATATATATTCTACTCTCTTAATGAACACTAATTTATTCTTGTAACAAAATCTCCATGCTCCTTCGAATATATATATATATATATATATATATATATATATATTATTGGACTATTTAGCCTTGTTTCTCATGACAGTAATATTCTTACCGCTGAGAAAGCCCATCAGGTAAATTTATGGATATTATAATTACTTAGCCTTCTCTTATGACATATTTTACTTGTAGCAATCTGTAATATGCTTCATTATAAACGAATAGTGATATTATATTAAATAAACTTCTAATTTCTTACTTAATGACTTCTCTTTATCTTTTTTTTCTGCCTAATTCAAAGTGATGCTTCCCAAAATAAGCGGTACGCTTTCACAATAGTGTACTGACTATAGATACTTATAAGTGACACTAGTTAAAATTATCCAGCTTTCGTCTGGTATCAGAAACTATAACCTTTGAAAAAAATTGAATATCTTGCACTTCTGACTTCCACCGTCCGTCATGGAAGTCAGTCGTGATTTTCTCTTTCTAGATTTGTTTAACTAACTGCCGTCCATTTGCATGAAATAATCTGCCAGGGAACAAGTAACACATAATTCGCACAAAAAATAGAGTACTAGTTAAGTTGAACTAGAGCTTGAAATTTACAGGGGCTGAATGTGTTGTTGTTGTGTAACACCCCGTCTGCCCTACCAAAAACAGAAGTTCACTCGTGCCTAAGTAATCAGTGGCTTATACAGCGTATAAATAATGAGGGAATAACTCTTTCAAGAGAGAGACAGACAAAGAATAAAAGTTATTTTGATTTTCGGCACAAAAATGCATCAGTTTATCTGACTAGTAGCAGCGATAAAGCTAGCAACACAGGGACCATGAATGTTAACTAACACAAAGGAAACACAAAAAGATGTCAATGCACCTTCGTTGATAGATAATGTATAACATCTTAAGTCTCCAGAGGTAAACTAACAGTTTACTCAGCTATTTCTGTTTAACTGATTTGTTTTAGTGGAAGTTTTTTGGTGATAAGAGAAGGCACTTCAAATTGATAAAGCAACTGTTAGAAGAAGAATATTTACTGACTAAACACAGTTCAGCCTTTTCCACGTAATTGAGTGATGATTGTGTACTTGTGTTTGTGTTATGTTCATTGGTCAAGATATGCTGTACTGATGGAACGTTTTTTTATGTTTAAATTTAGGGGTTCTACAGTTTCCACCAGCTGGCAGTGTATGTTATCCATGTCTTAGTATGTAGGAGTGCTTATCCAGTTAATTGCCTATGCATTTCACTGTCCTTCTTCTTCTTACTAATTTATTATGAAGCTCTATGGCTAACTAATATGATCTCGTTAACGGTTGAAACAATTACAATTGAAACTTATCAGCAGTGCCTCTTTGGTCAATTCGTTCTCTACAAACGTTTTGTGGAAATGTGCCTCGTAGGCTTAAGTGCTCAGTTTTCAGCAAATGGGCCATTTGGTCAATTACCCTGCATCTACTACAGGCTGGACAACTCGGTAGTGTCATCAGTCCTTACATCATAACTGTTGCTCTTAACCCACCAGTACTCATGGTAGCCGACATTTTCCTTGCGAAACTAGAGAACGGACCTTTGAAAGATGTAACTGATGAACTGGGATTCTACTGTCGGTACATGGATGGTACATTTTTGATTATGAAAAATGTGGATGAAGCAAAAGAACATACTGGACAAATTCAACGATGTGCATCCTGCAATAAATTTTACCATCGAGAAAGAAGGAGGCCCTAGTATTCCATTTTTAGACGTTCTTATGACTAGAAAAGGTGCGTCGGTGGCATAGCTCGCCGACCATGTATATCGTCCGGGGTTCGATCCCCAGCCGACGCACTCCTTTACCTCGCTAAGCCAAAACTAAAGCTGGTGAAGAGGAAAGGTGGGGCATGAGGCTAGCAACCCCATCCTGTAAAAATAAATACCACTGCTACAGAAACTTCAAGCCTGTAGCTTGAAGCCCTATGTTCCACTGGGAACGTGAAGGAATAAAAAAAATTTTTTTTAAACAGAATCAGTAGTCTGTCATCTCATGCTCAGGTCTCTGTATTCTCCTAGATAATCTGTCAGTGACAGCTAAACTTCCATCTCCCTACTTTTTGTTTCTTCGACTTTCCTGAGGTTAACAAAAAAGACATTCTTTCAGCTGTTCTGTATTTGTAAATTATCAGTGGGTTTATGGACTTCTGACAGGATTAGACATCTCTCTGTGGCCGCTTTGTGGATAGTTTCTCAAATAAAAATAACAGAATGAGTTATAAATAATGAAGGGGATGAGTCATTTAATAAAGTAGAATGAGTGTTATAAGGAAACAAAGTAAGTTAACAGCTATTCGGATAATAAATAATTAAAAGGCTGTGTTAGTGAACAAAAAGACAAATGATTTGCAAAGTCATCAGTACCGTTTAAATTTCCATGGTATAACATACAATATCTAGACTTTTCTGAGTTGTTTAAGGAAACACTCGGTTACTGTATCTTACAACATGGCACCCCACATAGTCAGACACCCTTTGAAATAAGAAGAAATTTCATCTCAGAGTAATACTGAATTCTTGGCTTGTAATATTAATTGTATCCACTTCAGATTATCCCTGCTTCTCATAAGAAGGACTCTTGTTAAGATGATATGCCCTGTGAATGTCTAAATAACGTATACTACATTGATCTGTTATGACGAAGATCCAGTTGCAGATCAATTGGATTTCCATTAAAATTGCTCTGAGCTTTATGCCAATACAAGTTCCCTGTCTTTACTCGTAGTTGTATCTTGGTTTACACTGCTCAACAACCTTTAGTTGGGCAGTGTCTGTCTATTTTCGACATAGAACTTTGCACATATGTGCGGCAGTTCAAGTCGCCACACTCCATGTAGCACACAAAGCAAGAGAAGAAAGTAGGAGAAATGCATATTAGAGACAGTAAACAGAGGTGTGAGACAAAGGAATAGTAATAACGAAGAACAAAACAGTTTAACTGGAAATCATAAGTCACAAGGAGTGGATGTATCTGCGCCACTGAGAACGATTTTGAGCCATGTCACCAATTGTTTCCAACCATTGGTTTTTACCGTCCCGAGGACCCCAACTAGTCAGGAAGTCTACATCTTCCTACGTGGCTTAGACTAACTGTTGTAGATTTCATTGACTGGTGCCATGTTTTCGTTTGACCACCGCTAGCTCTTTTCCAGCCTGACCCTATATCAGCTAACATTGCCCGTCGAGGAAGGCGATGGCTAGACATGCATGCGTAACACATGTCCTAACCATCTCAGTCAATGTAATTTCACAGTCTCGTCGATTGATTTCCCCTCCTTACCTAGCACTCGACGCCTAACCTCAATATTGCTCACCTTATTATACCACTTCACGTGGGAGATAGAACGCAGACACCTATGATCGAAGACAGCTAATCTTTTCGTGTCTTCCACTCTCAATGGCCATGTCTCACAGCCATAAAGGAGGACGGAGCGGACTGATGAGCAGTACACACGACCTTTGGGCAGTGTAAAATAATGAAAACTGTGAAGATATTCCAAGACTTAATAAGAATACTTCTGTTGGATAATAAATAGCATGTAGCGGTGGATAATTCCACAAAATTATTAGCCACAGCATTTATCACTGAACATTGGATGCTGGCCCTCACTGTTTAAGTCGACTTGTTTAGCAGAAGGCTCGAGGTCAAGCATCAATACCCATTCGGCACGCTGTTGTGTTACATCCGGTAGTTTGTGCACGACCCCTAACTAGTTAAGCAATCATCCTCACACTATGAATTCGGTGCAAAAATTTACTTCGTATTTTGGACGATCAATTTGATGTTTTGCTTTGTTTTTTTTCTCTATTCGGAACGAATGCTAAAGAACTTGAGGGTATAAGTTCTTGCGTTAGTTTACTTCGTAGTATCCATGATCATCAACACCCTCAGCCTCTGAAAGCTAAACATGAGGCACTGAATTATTTGCAATAAGAATCAAAAATGACATTTATTCTTGATATCATCTCTTTATGAGTAAGGACGGTGTTTAGCAGGTCACAGTAATTGAGACCGAGGTCCTTTCCTGTTAACACTTTGTTGATAGTTTTCCCGCCCAAATAGTACTCATCCGTCTCCGTTCTATGCGTCCATAAATATACTTACTGCAATGCACTTTCATGGTTGACGTTTTGATCACTCTATGGTTCTTAGGATTTGAGGCGCTGCAGGTATTGTCGGAGTGTTCTGGAATCATCCTCCATTCTAAAAATAATACGGGATGGTGCTTTCAATTAGATCTTATTGCTGTAAATGATTCCGTAGAATTAACCTACAGACCAATTGCCGTTCAAAATTAGGTGCTAACATCCACTTCCTAAGTCGACTGGATAAACTGAAGGTAGATGACAGAGCACTTACGCCACTTAGGTTACTGTTGTGTTACATTTGGTAGTTCGTGCACGATCTCGAATCGCGGTGTCACTCACCGATCCTAAAATATATCTCGTACTTGGTATTATCTAAATGTTGTTCTGACTTGGTTTACTGTTTTCTGGTCTATATCTAACAAGTACGTTTTGGGTTGGAATATGCCTCAGGTGTATTATTATTATTATTGTTTCCTTTCATTCCTAGAGGAACATAGGGCTTCAACCGTGTGTCTTCATTGCGTTCGGTTCTCAGCTAGATTCTCCACCTGGCTCCAAGTCTGTCCACACACTTTCATCTCCTCTTCACATGACCTCCTCCAAGTCACCCTTGCACTGACGACCAACTCGCCGCTTCCCTTTCGGGTTCCACTCAAGGGCTTGTCTAGTGATGTCAGACACATATCATCGGCGAAGTCCAGATCCTCCAAGTTTTTTGTGTGAGTCCATTTTATGCCTGTTTCCTCATTGCCCGCTGTTAGTCGCATTATCCAATCTACTGCAATCAGAAAAATCATTGGCGATAGTAGGCAGCCAGCTTGTCTCACTCCTGTCCTCACTTCGAAGGGTTCCGTAAGTTTCCTGTTGTGGATTACTTGGCATGCAGCATTGTCGTACAATTGTTGGATGAGATGTATAATTGTCGATGG